AAGAAGAAATGGCGATAATCGCGGGCGGAAGTTAGAAATATTCGGACAGAAGGAGGAGGAGGAGGAGGAGGAGGAGGAGGAGGAGGAGGAGGAAGAGGAGGAGGAGGAGGAGGAAAAGGTAGGTTGCAGGAAGGAAGGAAGGAAAGGGATGAGGGATGGGAGCCGCGAAGCGCAACCTTTGGGGGCTGGTTTATGTAACGTAAACTCAGCGACGGGGGGAGCGGTGGTCTACGCCGTCCTATTTTTAAACCTAACTACGGGTTAACCGGCTAACGTTCGATCGATAACGCGGCGTTTCTCGAATCGTCCACCGAAAACTCGATTTCTTCTCTCTTTCCTCTCCCCTCCCCCCTCGCGATTTCTCGAAAAATCGATATCGCGAATCGTGCGAATCAGAAAAATTTTTCCAAAAAAATATTCTCGATTTTTAGTCGACGCACGATACATTATTTTCTGTTTGTTTAATCCGATTTTTCCCTTTTTGGGGGGGGGAGGGGGGGGGGAAATAAGAAAAGGAACTAGCGAAATTTTGTTAATCGCGGAATTATACGGAGGAGGACTGTACCGCGCAGCACTGCGGTACATTCGAAGCGTAAAATTGGTTGTTCGAATTTGTTGTTTCGAATTCGGCCAACCCGCTGCGAGTTCTCTCTTTTTTTATTTTTTTTTCGCTTTTCCACTGAAAAAAAGAAAGAAAGAAAGAAAGAAAGAAAGAAAAACACGCGATTTTTAAACGCAACGCCGAAAACAAGAGATGAAATTGGCGTCGCACGTTTTCGAGGGGTAGCTACCTTACCCACCTAATTAATAACTCTCGTACAACACCGCTCCCTTTGATGAAAAATAACAGCCTGAGCGTGGGATTTTACGTTTCTCTTGTTTACGCGGGAAATAATTTTGAATAATTTTTTTTTTTTAATTCCGTCGTCTTCTTCGTCGTCGTGGTGAAAAAAAATATTCGAGTCGGAGGGAAACCTGCCAGGATGGAGCCAACTTTCGCAAACTTGAGAGGAGCAGGGATCGTCTTCCCGAGTGGAAACGCGGAGAAATTGAATTGCAACGAGAGAGAGAGAGAGAGAGAGAGGGGGGGGGTTGTATCTCTCCTCTTCGAGACGCACACGTCCCTCGTCGTCCACGTCGCCTTCTCTCGACCCCTTTCGGGAGAGAAGAGCGCGAGGAAAAACTCGCTCCGCTGCACCCACCCCTCCGGCATCGCGTTTATTTTTTTCTTCTTCTTTCACTCTTTTACCCGACACCGGCAGGCGCGAGCCAAAAACCTCCCCCTCCCTTTTTTCTCCCTTTGGAGAAACGTGGCCGGCTCGATTCTATTCTTCTTTCTTCTATTCACCCCCCGGTTCCTTCGAGCAACGTTTACTCGAATTTTGCAGTTTTATAAACTGTAATCGTCGTCGAAAGATTTCCACGGAGATGAAGGGATCGAACGATTTGTCTGTCGTCGTTCGGATTGGAGATCGATAAACTCTAAAAGTGGTTCGAATGTATCGATTGGATAAGAAAATTATAATAATAATTATTTATAAAATAAGAATTATTAATAAAATTTAAAAAATTAATAAAATTATTAATAATTATTAATAAAATAAGAGTAATTTTCGAATGTATGTAAAATATGCAACGTGTGATAAAACTATACGTTTTAGAATTTTAAATCATCTTTTTTTAAACGTTTACAGATTGGGGAGTGTATATAGAGAATCGATTACGTTTCAATAAGTTGAGAGAAATATTCTGTAAATTTATCAAGAAGCATTTAAATTTTAAATAGTTGCGAATTATCGATAAGTTTTTGGTTTCTTTCTTTCTTTTTTTTTCGTAAATTAAACGTAAAATTTTATTTTATCGCATTTTATTTTTATTGCTTTTGATGTTTGAGCGGTTGGTTACAGTTTCATCGTTTTTATTTTGTTAAATTATCACTGCTTGGCCCATATCTATCTCAAGATCCAAAGTTCCTCTTTCCAAGCTAATTTCTTTCGTTACGCATACGTTTTGCGCGATCACTGAAGCTTTAAATCACAAATGTTTGCATACTTCTTTTTCTTCTTCTCATACTTTCGACGAGACAATAAATCTGCCTGCAAGCTCTAAATCGAAAGAAAATAATTTTGTCCTGTTATTCCGAACCATTGCGATTCTTTCTCTCTCTCTCCGTTCCCCGAGGAGACGAGAAAAAGAGAAACTCGTGGGGAGGAAACGCTCCACTCGCGTACGCAACAACCTTCCCTAATGCCTTGCCTCCCTTTCATCCAGCCAGCCGGAGAGAATCGGCAAAGAGCGAATACTAGGAGCGCGCAAGGAACAAGCCACGATGCGAAACGATCTCGAAACGCATCCGGTTCTGCGTCCTTTTGACGGGTAACCATTCGACGCACCCCCTCCCCTTCCTCTTTGTTTCGAAACAACGCTCCAATTTTCGGTCACGAATCACGACAGATTCGCATCGAGAGAGAGACAGAGAGAAATTAACGTGTCAATCGCGGCGAGATTTATATCCAGCAAAAAAAAAAAAAGGAAATAAGAAACGAGACTCCCCCATTTCGAATTTCCAATTCGTGCACCGGGCAATAGACGGTTCTATCTCCTCGTGGTCCCCTGGACTGAACGAACCATTTCCCCAAATGGGGTAGGTCCAACTGCATAACAGCACGAGAGCAAGATTTTTCCAAATCTAAGCAAAGTCTAAGATAGCAAAACACCTACGTCTCCAGCTTCCTGATGCCGGAAATATTACGCCATTTATAATACATAATTTATAATATATAAATAATTTATAATATATAAATAATTTATAATATATAAATAATTTGGCTGGCCAAGCCGATATGGGATACTATTCTCAGGAGCGACGCCCTGGCAAACATCAGTTGTCCTGTTCCTCTTGCAATACTTTTACCCTTGATTAATCGCGACGAATCGACTGTCTCTCGAGAGTTTATCTCGAAAAGCTTGTGAATTTATTTTATTTATTCGGAAATCGAATATCGGGCAGCGCAATCATAGTCGTATTGTTCCCCGATCGATCGCGTTAATTAATTACACGGAGGATGGACGCGCAGGATTTGCCCCCTGTCAATATTGAATCGACGGTTAATGCGTTTCTCTAAATCGTCCGGTAATCGAGCCGGGTTAATCGAATCGTCGATTCTCCCTTTTTACCCGATCTGAAGAGAAGGGGTTGGTAAAAACTTTTCGAGTCGATGTCTCGTCTTTTTCGTCTCTGACAAACGGAGAAACAGGAGACGAGTTTCTAGGCGGAAGAAACTACGGCATGCAAGGTGCTCAACAACCTGCCTCGCCCCGACGAGATCGCGGCTGTTCAATTATTATTCCTCCAACGAGAACGCTATTCGTTTATTAGATAACGAGGACATGCATCGCGCGCGAGCCACGTCGATTCCTTCCCCTCCTCTCCTCCTCGAAGAGGAGGAGAGGGGTGGAGGCCCGACCGGGCCCGCTCGCGCCTCCTCGAGGCTCCATGCAAAAGCACCAGATGTTAGAGAGACAGAGACGTGAACTTTTCCATTTCCCCGCCTTCGAGAGGAGGAAGGGGGGGAATCGTCGCATCGCCCCCCTGTTATTTACCCTCCCTCCTCCCTCGATCGACCAGCTCGAAATATCGAGTCGATCGAGTGTAGGAGGGAGGGAGGGGAAGGGGGCGTAATGCGGAAACGGTATTTTCGGTGAGAGATCGGAAGAGATTGAGAGCGAAGAGGAAGAAAGAAAGGAAGAACGGTGCAATCAACTGTTTCCGCGATAAAAGATTGGGGAGGAGGGGGGGAAGGAAAAGATGGTTGGTGCGGCGAGGCGCGTTCGATTAAGATCGGAAGGATCGATCGATGGATCGAGGATCGATCGTTTGGCGACGCGCGCCTCGACGCTCCAATTGTATCGCAATCGTATTGCGGATGATTGACAGGATTCGAAGTGCGAATAATGAGAGAGAGAGAGAGAGAGAGAGTCGCGAAACGAGATATATATGTATAGAGTGGGATATATATTATAGGTGGTTGAGAGAACGGATGTGGTCGAATGAATTGATCGTTATTAATTATTGTTGTCGTTGTTGTTGTTATAGTTGTAGTTGTAGTTGTTGTAGTTGTTCTCGTCGTCGAATTCGACGTCGTAGAAAACGTTCTCTGCCCTCTCCAGTCCGGATCAGATACACATAATATAGTATATCGAGTGAAAAGAAAAATATACGATACGATAATCATATCGAATGTAATATACAATATACAAAAAAAAGAAGAAGAAACGTTGTATATATATAAAATCGAAAATACCACTACTTTGAGGTATCCCGATCGGGTATCGGGAACGAAAGGCGCGTCCCGTTCGCCGTCTTCGAATCCCAACCAAAATCGGAGAATACCAACGCGAACGAAACAAAGAAAAATAAAAAAAAGGAAAAAAAAACGTAAGCGTAATCAAACAATATATATATATATATATATATATATGTATATTTATGTATATATATATATATATATATATATATATACGTAATACAATTGAAAAATAATCATCGACAATCACTGCGATATGCTGCCAAGATACGTAATGTGTGCTCACGGGGCCCCACTTCCCGTCGCCGTTTCCCGTTTCTTCTATCACCGTGCTCCACGCGACAAAGCGGCAACAGCGCTCCTCCCCTCGCGCTCCTCCGCTTCCTCGTCAAATTCGCGAGGAGGAGAGAAAGGGAAAGTTTTTTGACGACGATGGCGATCGATGGTGGCGACGGGCGATGATCGGCGGAGGAAGAGCGCGATAAAAAGAGGAGCGCGGAGAAAAATCGATGAGAGGAAGAATGCGAGAAGAGTACGAGAGACGCACGCGAGAGAGGTGTTAGAAAATCGTTGAAAGGCGATGCGATGACGGTGATGGCGGAACGCGGGGGGATGTCGATGGCGAGCGTCGAGTGGGGCCCACGTATTTAACTCACGGATATAGAGAGCAGAGGGTATCGTCCGATATCGTACCGCATCTCCTACCTTCTTCTCCCATTGGAGAACGTAGGGCACTGGGTGCTCACCGGGGAACTCTACGTGACAGTTGAAGACAACGCTCTCCCCAAGGATTGCCGTAATGTGCACCGCGTCCTGGTTGCACAGACCTGAAACATATTTCCATTTCCAACATCTTTTACTTCACCGACCAATCTCTCAACAACACCTTCCTCTTCCTCGCGTTTCGCCTCGATCGTCGTACCCGCGATACTTTATCGGTTGACTTTGACTTTGAGTATTCAAGTTTCGAAGCGAGGCAATTATGTCAATCGATTTTCGTATTTTATTTGCTCCTCAAAGATCCCGTTGACGGCGATAATTGTCTCGAGTAACGCGTTCACATTCTGAATCTCTTATCCTCGATATCGACAAATAAAAGGACGAAGGAAAAACGCCATCTTGGACGCAAACAAGGAAAGAGAAAATTGGAAAAAGGATATATCGATCGAAAGAGTCGTTTTCATGCACGTGGAATATAAAGACAAAGGAGGCGAAAGGAGAGCGCGGAAAAAGGGGAAATATACGGAGAAGGTGTTCGCCCGAAACAGCCAAATGAGAATTTGCGAAAGAGAGAGAGAGAGAGAGCACGCCGGCCGACGCAACGTAAAAAGCGCGAGATTGCCTATTCGCCCGTTGGAAACAATGGCTCGCGATTCGAATATCCGCACCTGGCGCGCGTCCATCGGAGAGAAGACGACAGAGAGAGAGCCTCTTCCCTTCCTCTTTTACTTTCGGCGGTTTCGACACGCGATAGGACGGGCGTAACGAGCTACGTTGCCACATTTGTCGCTCGCTTGAAATTTTCAGTCACCGGCGAACCGTGAAACGAGGAGCCATTCGATCGTGCCAAGCCAACACGTATCGCGAGTTAATCGCGCGACGACGACGACGACGACGACGATGACGACGTCGTTGGGATGACGCGGAAGAAGCAATTAACCGGAGGTTAACGAGCATTCTCCCGGAGACTATCTTTCGCTTCTATATATATATATAGATTTTAATTATTAAGCGTAATTGGACGGTGTTCTCGGTTAAGCGATATATATATATCGGGCAAGTGGGTGAACGGCCTCAGCTTTGACCCAGCAGCGTGGGGGTTTATCGGGCAGCGAAATTGTTGAGCGGAGCGAGCGAGAGAGAGAGAGAGAGAGAGGCGGCACGAAACCGCGGCCCAACTTTTTTTTTCCAGGCTGCTGGATCGATCGCGCGCGCTCGTCTTTCGTCTCGTGGAACGGACCTTTAGGCACAAGGGCAACGTACCCTCCTCGATGAAGAGGAGGAGGAGGAGGAGACAGAAGCACGAGTTTGATCGCTCGCCATCTGGGCCGGCTTCGAAACGCGGGTACGGAAAGCGTTGTTGGTTGATCGTTGGCGAGCGGATGCCTCGAAGCTACGCGTAATTTATAGCGACCATATGCCGTGCCCCGACCTCCCCAGAATCCCGGCAATCTCGAGGAGGAATTTAATCGAAACGCACCACCCCGCGTTGCGCGGCTTCCCCCCTTCCTCCTCCCCCTATTTCCAAATTTTTCCCCCCGGGGAATCGAAGGAACGAGCCCCCTCGAATCGATTTATACAAATAAAACCGGGTGAGGAATTAATTGGCGTGCTCGGGTCACAGCGAAAGTTCTCATCGGCTCGCCGTTTTATTCGCTTATTCGACTACTTGGAGGAAGGATCTTAGGTATTTGGAAAGATGTTCCACGAGGTATAATAAAACTGTTGAATTGTTATATAAAAGTGATAAAAAAGTGGTTTATCAAAGGGATTAGTCGGAATGTAGAAGTTTAAAGGATTCTATACAAAGGTGAAGTTGGTCAGAATAAAAAGTTGTGACTCGATAAGACTCTTCCGTTTTTCTTTCGACATTGGAACGAATTAGAAGTTTTAACGGTTACGTACACTCGTCACTCGGCAAAGAGAGGTGACAAGCGAGGAATGCAACGATACAGAATTCTTGAAGGAGATTTTGTTGGAAACACAATTGAAATGAATAAATTAAGTTGGAACGACTTGATACGATTTTACCAAATTTTTTTTTTTTACGAATCTTCTTTTAGAAAATCTAACCGCGAGAGACTCCTCGAAAAATCTCACCATTAATTTTACGAGTCTCGTTTTGAAAAATCGATCTGATTCGGATTCTTGGCGAGGGGAAACGTCTATTCCCCTCTGGGTGGAAAGAGTGCGAGAAGATGGAGTTTTAATCGCATCGATTCGTAACGTTTCCATACGCGCGTCATTAGCAGGATGTGCAACGCGAGTTTTCCAGGACGAGAGGCCAGAGTTTTTAATGAAATTGTTTTCGCCGATGAAACTAACGAGCGTCGAAAGGGGGATGGGGATGGTGATGGTGTTCCATAAATTAAAAAAAAAAAAGAGGGAAACAACCTTTGGAACGCATCGACCGTGTTGCCTTTTTATTCGTCTCGTTCCGATAAATTGGTTAAATGCAACCCTTTTCATACCTGTTCACAATCGGTGTACGCGAAAGACAGACTCTGGCTTCGATCTTTTTTCTCTCCCTGTTTTGTTTCACTCGTCTCGATCGACGTTCGTTCCATCGTGATCAGAAGAAGAGGAAGAAGAAGTGAAAAGCTCGGTTTCGAAATTGAAACCGTCGGTTCGACGGGAAAACACGAAGAGGAGAAGAAGCATGGAAAGAAATTGCACGAGTGGAAATTGCCCCTTTCCATCCGAGAAAGGAATGGGCCCCACGTGTTTGGGGCGGAGATTATTATTTACCAATCGTCAGGAAAAGATATCCGGACGAGTTCGAAGATCTTATCACACAGGGTGAGACAGGCCCTCCGTTAATTCAGGAGGGGGGTGGAATGGAAAAGAAGGGAGGAGTAAAGTTTGGATTTAGGAGAGAAACACGTACCTGGCGTAACGAAAAGCACGATACCGAGGAGGAGGGTCCTCGTTGCCACGTCCGCGATCCACCGTAAATCCCCTCGACGCCATCGAAGCCGATGCCTCTTCCCGCTCCTTCCTTCCTTCCTCCCATCCTGACGATCCGTGCCGACGATCCTCGCCCCGCGCGCGGAACCGATTACGCCGGATCCGCCGTTCCACCACCTCCACCCTCCTTTCCCTTCTCCATCCTCCTTCCTCCCGTCCTGTCGTCTGCACGGCCGCCAACCTGTACACGTGGGTTGACCGGAGGCGAGAGTCGCTTGCAGCTCGACTCCTCTGGAAGAAAAACCACGTTCGAGGAAGCCAGAATTAATTCGAAATCGTTTCCAAAATAATGCAATGGAAGGACACGAGGAGAATACGTGAAAGGAAGGAAGGCAAAAAAGAGGAGAGAAAGAGAGAAAGAGAAAGAAAGGAAAAGAGAGAATTCACCTGAATTAATTCGAAATTGTATTATTTCCAAAATAATACAAGGAAGACTCGAGGAGAAAACGTGGAAGAAAGAAAAGAAAAAAAGGGAGAGAGAGAGAAAGAGAGAGAGGGTTCACCTGAATTAATTTAAAATCGTATTATTTCTAAAATAGGAAGAAAACGTGGAAGGAAGGAAAAAAAGGAGAAAGGGAGGGAAAGGATTCACCTGAATTAATTCGAAATTGTATTATTTTCAAAATAATGCAACGGGAGGACACGAGAAAATGTGGAACGAAAGAAAGGAAAAAAGAAAGAAAGGAAAAGAGAGAATTCACCTGAATTAATTCGAAATTGTATTATTTTCAAAATAATACAAGGAAGACTCGAGGAGAAAACGTGGAAGAAAGAAAAGAAAAAAAAGGAGAGAGAGAGAAAGAGAGAGAGGGTTCACCTGAATTAATTCAAAATCGTATTATTTCTAAAATAGGAAGAAAACGTGGAAGAAAGGGAAAAAACGGAAGGGAGGGAGAGAGAGAGAGGGTTCTGAATTCGAAATCATATTATTTTAAAAATAAGAAGAAAACAAAAGAAGAAGTGGAAGGAAGAAAAAAAAAGAGGAAGGGAGGAAAAGGATTCACCTGAATTAATTCGAAATCGTATTATTTCCAAAATAATTTTATTATTTCTAAAATAGGGAGATAACGTGGAAGGAAGAAAAAAAAGGGGGAAGGAAGGGAAAGGATTCACCTGAATTAATTCGAAATTATATTATTTTCAAAATAATGCAGAGAGGATACGAGGAGAAAAGACACTTGGAAAGAAGGAAGGAAAAAAAGGGGAGGGAGAGAGACAGAAAGAGAAAGAGAGAGAGAGAGTTCATCTGAATTAATTCGAAATTGTATTATTTCCAAAATAATGCAAGGAAGACATGAGTAGAAAACGTGGAAAGAAGGAAGAAAAAAAAGAGAGAAAGAGAGAGAGAGAAAGAGAAAAAGAAGATTTATCTAAATTAATTCAAAATCGTATTATTTCTAAAATAAGAAGAAAACGTGGAAGGAAGGAAAAAAAAAGAGGAAGAGAGGGAAAGAGTTCACCTGAATTAATTCAAAATCGCATTATTTCTAAAATAAGAAGAAAACGTGGAAGGAAGAGAGAAAAAGAGGAAGGGATTCATCTGAATTAATTCGAAATCGTATTATTTCCAAAATAATGCAAGGAAGACACGAGGAAGAAACATGGAAGGAAGGAAGGAAAAAAAAGGGGAAGGGAGGGAGAAGGTTTACCTTTCTTCCTGGTCATTGGTGGTGTATCCGTGGCATGGTCGGGAAGCATCGCGCCTTAAGGAACGAGGAGGACTCTGGGGACGACGAGTCGTGGTTCCCGAACACCTCGTGGACTCGAGCCTTCGCCGGAGGTCCGTGGCTTGCAGCCCTCCTCCGCCCCCCATACCCCCGCTCCCATAGTACCTGTAAATCACAAAAAGACGATGAAATTTTCTTTTTTCTTCTTTCGTGATTCGAAGCTCAATAAACACGTGACGAGATATCTCGTTTTAACGATTTTTCGATCCACCACTCGAGGAATTAAAAACAAAACTCGAAGCAATTAATCAGGAAAAGAGGAAATTCTCGACAAAAAAATATAAAAGTCTGTTCGTCGAATGGAAAAAGAAACGAAACTATTGCGCAAAGGAGAATGCTTCATCACACTCTCAAGCATTATTATAAGTTTGTAAAGTGAATAATAATAATTAATCGATTTAATTTTATTTCTATAATAAATAATACTTAAAATGTATATAATATAATAGAAAAGCCTATACAATAAACAAACGTATAAGAAATATAACGTGAGTTATATTTTTAAAAAGTGCATACATCATGCTATACTTTTTATTAGAGCAGAGTGTCGTACGCACTCTGTGTTAACAACGGGAAAAGCGAAACGATGCTCTCCCCCTTTCGTTTGTATTTCAATTAAATCGAACCGAATCGAATAAATTATACCCCCTAATCGCCTATTCCAACACACGGTGTGTAATTGCACGTTTCGGCGTAGTCGATAAACAGCGGAATGCGTTCGTTATACTTCCCCTTCCCCTTTCGAGGTACTTAATTCGATCTAATCGCGCGTCTCCAACACTTTTCTTCTCCCTTCCCCCCATTTCGCCAACGATTTCAACTCTTCGCACTCGAACGGTGACTCACTTGGATTTTGGAAATGGCGACGATATTCGATTGATTTTTTTCAGAATATCGCTTCGCGCAAACGGATTCCTCGCCTCGTCACGCGTATGATCTTGCGAAGGGATTCTTGTGAAGGAATGCAATTTGGGAGGGATTAGTTGATATTCGGTTGGAGGGGCAATATTATTTGGAGGGATATTATTTTGAAAGTAGAATGAAGCAAGATTCGGATTTCGAAGCGAGAGATGAGTTTGATTTTTTTAGGTATCGAAGGAACGAGAGAGAGAGGATAATAGGTGAATGGCGATTTATATTCGAATTTTCTCTCATTGACAAGGATAGTAAAAGTTAATTCGTGGGTAAGTTAGCTGTTCGAGAAATTCACCGAGTATACGGAAAATCGTCTCGACTCGTCCCGACAATAATTTTGAAAAAGATTGATTTTACAATTATTATTTAAAATTGAGAAAAAATAGAGAAAATTACGTTTTACAGTTTTAAAAATTAATCATATCGATGAATTATATATAAAATTTAAAATAATTATTAATGATAAATTTTGTAAGGATTAATAAAAAAATTTTATTTTGATAAATTAATATTGAATTTTAATAAATATGATTAAATTCGTTAATTTTAGGTGACATTTTGAATTAATTTTTAATAATTATAGATCGAATGCATTAGATTGGAAAGAAAGTTATTTTGATTTTGCTCTATTTTCGATTAAATTGGTATTAAATTGCATTGACTTTGTATATAATTTTAAATTTTTCTATGAAAATTTGTGATATTAATTTCATTTTCGAATTAACTTTTTTGATTTTTCAAGGTGTTGAAAACGTAATGGACAAGAAGCAAATTCGAACAATTTTCCTATTCCAATTCCAGGAATACCAGAATTTTATTCAACCGGAATAACAAAACTTGTTTCTCGTTGCATTTTTTCGCAATTTTGTCTTTATTTTGATTAATAAATTGTTGTTCGAGCCAAGCTACGTGCATTCGAATTTACCAGTTAAAAACCGCGACAACTTTCTTTCCAATATTCTAATAATTAAAAAGAGAAAAGCTAAGACTAGACTCGTTATAAAAAATTAAAAATAACTTAAAAATCAAGCAACCACATCCCACCATTTCATCCTTGATCTCGCTCAACACTTACCCCTGCCGTTCCGCCACCACTACCGCTGCCCGGATCGTCCGTTCCCGGCCCCAATTTTCACGAGCCTCGCCACTTCTTCACCTCGCCGCGACGCCCCCACCACCTTAGCCTCCGCGGCTCCGTGCCACTGTCATCACCTGGGGGGAGAAAAAGGAGGAGGCAAAACCGCCTCTCTTTACTACACGTATTATTTCGGCCTATAAAGTGGAATTCGACGATCGCGTTCCCGATTGAAATTCCGCCCGACGCGGGATCGAATCGATTAGCGAAATACGTGCTCGGATGCACGCACCGGGGACACCGGGCGATCGGCTCGATTCCCGTGGGAAGAAGGGAGAGGGGGATCGAGTCGAGTCGAGTCTTGGAACAGAGCGATAATTATCAACCTTTGAACCTGCTTTGATTACGTCGATCTCGATCGAAAATTTCACAGATAGACAGAGAGAGAGAGAGAGAGAGAGAGAGAGAGAGAAAGAGAGAGAGAGAGAGATCGAAAGAATTCGCGATCATAGCCTTTTTAGCGCACCGATTATATTATTCGTGCGATGCTTTATTCATCGCTTTCGACGAACAGTGCCGTTTTCACCGATGCGATGTTGCCGTCGATGACAACATCGCGCTAATAGAAGGAGGGAGGGAGAGAGGAACAACGGCACCGTGTCGTCCACCGCGCAATTCCACGCGTCACAATTCGTCCTCGTGTTCCACGGTTATTAGCGCCGAGCCTGTGGGATTCACCGATACCTCCTCTCTTGCCTTCTTTCATCCGCTCATGATCGTCGCTGTACTCGCCGCCTCGAAATCTCCCGGATTTGTAATAATTAAAAATATTCTCTCGCTTTTTTGAAAGCTTCGATCGACTTTATCGATCAATAATTAATATCTTTATTATAAAGAATTTTCGAGTCGGATCTTCGGTTTGAAATATATTCTCGACGCGTTGGAACGATTCCGAAAAAGAGAAGAGAGAGAGAAAAAGTTAAATCGGTAAGCGTTCACGGGTAATTTGAGGATGCGGTGGTTCGATCGATCGACGAAAATTTTCGACCGCACTTTTTCCATATCGAGGGCCGATTGCCATTCAAAATTGAAATTACGTCTGTGTGTAAAGTTGATATCGATCCAATTAACGGTGTATAAAATTCACGCCACCGTCCAAATTTCCCCTTCTTAATCTAACTCGTATCGCCTATTCCTGCCCCCTCCCTTCGAAAAATTGAAACGTACGTTTTATCGATCGCGACGACCAGCTCCTCTCTTCCCCTCCTTCGAAAAGAAGGGAAGCTTCACTTCTTCGCGAAAGAAGGAAAGGAAGGGAAGATCCATCCGTTCCTCGCGTGTCCTCGCGCCGCTATGACGAGCACGTTAATTATTACCGCCAAGGCTCCCTCACCAAACTGCAGTGGCGGCCGTTGGCGATAGAATTGCACGCGTGAAAAGAAAGGAAACGAAACCGAGGTCGCCCCGTCTCGTCGTGTCGAATCGAAAACGCTTTCGTGAAAAGGATTTCGTTGCCGATGTTTGCTCTTCTTTCGAAAATTTCTTCTCTTTCTTTCTTTCTCTCAACTTTTGGAAAAGAGGTAAAATTTGGAACGAGCTCTCCACGAAATAAGGAAATCTCCTTTTCGGTGACGAACGAGGATGGATTTAATCGCACTATGCCGATCGAATCGAGCCAATTATACTTCGAGGATTTCTCTTTTCTCTGCACGGCTTTTAATTCGCCTTCTAGGCAAAATATAGCGGTCGTAAGGAACATTGTCGACGTTTGCCAATCGAAAATCGGTTTCTCACGACGAAGTTTCGAACAATATCCTCTATCGTTCGAGGTTATTTCGAATCTCGTAACAAGAGATTTTGGCCGACGCCGGAGAAGATACACGGATTAAGAGGGTTTTCGTCGAGGGAAATGAAGCAGAAGGGGAGAAGGAGGAGGAAGAAATGGATTTTAAAGTGGAAAACGTTTAAGCTCTCCGCCCAGGGGAACACGCGTCGCGCAAAAAATTTTCTTCTTCCTCCTTCTCCTCTTCTTCTTCTTCGTCGACCGATCTTTCGACCCAACACGGTATTCCACGCTAATCCTGTTTGGATTAAAAAGTGACGCCGCGACTTCCACGTACGACGGAATTTGGGATCCTTGAAAACAAACAGGGTGAATTCTCCCTGGAAACCGCTATTGTCACAGCATACCGACCTACATCCATTGTTATAGAATTTAAAGTTCACTGAAATTTTATATATGATTTCATTATTGAATGTTGCCAGCAACATTACTATTTCATAGTTGCTAGCTATTTGTTTCTCTTCGTATTTCAAATGTTTTGTAAACAGATATCACGTATAATCAAATATATTCATTCAGCTAAACCCGTATATTTTTATTTATTGTTTTCCACTGCCCAGTCAACATCCATGCATCGTAATCTCTGCCCCCCATATTCGACTCATATTCGACATGTATACATACATATATATATATATATATTTCGAAATATAAAAGTGGCATAGCTGAAACCAGTCCCTGGTTATCGCGCCGGATATAAACCCGAGATGGAGAGTAATTTCTTAGTCGAAAGTGGCGGGGTTCGTGGCTCGATTTCTGCCCGATAACGATCGTTCCCTCCTCGAAAAACACGCGCGTCGAACGAAACCATATTTTCCAATACTTTCCTCATCCGTCGTTAATACGTTCTTTTTCCTTTTTCTTTTTAAGGACCAACACGATTCACCCCCGTTTTCCAATACTTTCCTCGTCCCTCGCGTCGTCAATACATTCTTTCTTCTTTCTCTTTTAACACGAGTCACCCTGTTTCAAAGAGTCGATATCTCGAGGAAAAGAGGAAGCACAGGATAGCGCGTTTAATTAAAATTAAGGAAACGAAAGAAGAAGAAAGGAAAGAGAAGGGGGGAGGTTCGTTTCTCGAACGATATTTGCGGCGGCGACTCGCGTGACGACCGCCAGCCGCGACCTGCACCTCGCCGCAAACTGCAGTCGACCGCAAAATTGCCGGCGGAATACCGAAACGCGCGGCCAGCCGTGCAGGCATCCCAACGAAACGATACCCGAAATAACTGAAACTTTTGCGGCCGCCCGTCCATTCCACCGTCTTCCATTCCAAACCTTCCGCGATCTCCCCTCCCCCCGGTATTTCTCGCGACTCCCGATCCATCGTCGGAGCGAGGTTCGCGGGCTTTCGAGCCTGATTCAGATCTCGAGGGAGGCTGTGCGCCGAATATGGAACGGATCCAAAGTCGTCTCATCAAGTTTTCACCGTTCCTGGAAACCTCGTTCACTTATTCATTGGTTTCGCGCCGGCGAAACGACGCGGCACCGGGTCACAAGGTCGATCGATATATCCGCCGCGCGCTCCCTTCTCGAGCCGATTGCCAACCGCTCGTCGGCATCCTTTGTCCATCTTCCTCGATTCGAACGTCTCGTTAAGAGGGGCGTTTGATTTCCGTAGATTTCCTCGTGGTCATATACGAGCATTAACGGAGTTGTGCTTCCTTTCGAATTATTTCGAGCGGAAAAGAGCGTTGAGTGGGTAAATCGTGGCGAATGGCTATATTTTTAGCGAAGAACGAGCTGGCTTTGTCGAGAAGGATCGATGGGGTTTCGGAAGCGGTGACGTATCGAGAGCCCGGCTCGAGCTTGAGCACACGCGCGCGCAATCGAAACAAGGGTGGTCGAGCGGTGTCTGAAGCACGTGGCGCCAACCGAGTTCGGAGCCCGCTTTAATGCTCGTGGTGGAAAGAAAGGGGAAAGAAAGCTCGGATGCTATGTCGGAGAACGCGTTTAAATTCCGCTTAAACGCTCGTTAAGGTAGAATTGGGAGCTCCTCTCCCAATGCGGGATCATCTCGCTACCTAACTTTCGAATAATGCTCTCGACGGCGAGAGAGTTGGAGTCGGCAAAGGGTGTTTTCAAAAAGGGATTTCGAACGCTCGATTCCTTGGGAAGCGGAGGATTTTTCGAATAATGCGATGGCGGGAGAATTAGAATCGACAAAGCGCGTTTTCAAAAAGAAATTTCGAATGCTCGATTCCTTGGGGATCGTTGGCAGGTTTCGAGGATTTTTAATTTAACGCGCGGGAAATTTAACTCGACGCGTTTAATCGCGAACGAGAGAATTAGAATCGACAAAGCGCGTTTCCAAAAAGAAATTTCGAACGCTCGATTCGTTGCGAAGCGGAGGATTTTTCGAATAATGCGACCGACGATGTTAAAATCGAGAGTTAAAATCGAAAGCGTGTTTCCAAAAAAGGATCTCGAACGTTCGATTCCTTGGGGATCGTTGGCAGGCTTCGAGGATTTTTAATTTAACGCGCGGGAAATTTAACTCGACGCGTTTAATCGCGATCTAATTCGAGGGAGTTAGAATTAACAAAGCACATTTCCAAAAAGAAATTTCGAATGTTCGATTTCTTGAGAAACGGAAGATTTTTCGAACAATGCGACCGACGGCGAGAAAATTAAAATTAACAAAGCGCGTTTCCAAAAAGAAATTTCGAGCAATGGATTCCTTGGGAAGCGAAGGATTTTTCGAAAAATGCGATCGAAGGAATTAGAATCGACGTTTCCAAAAAGAAATTTCGAACGCTCGATTCCTTGAAAAGCGAAGGATTTTTCGACCGACGGCGAGAGAGTAGGGAATTAGAATCGACGTTTCCAAAAAGAAATTTCGAATGTTCGATTTCTTGAGAAGCGGAAGATTTTTCGAACAATGCGACCGACGGCGAGAAAATTAGAATTAACAAAGCGCGTTTCCAAAAAGAAATTTCGAGCGTTGGATTCCTTGGGAAGCGAAGGATTTTTCGAATAATGCGATCGAAGGAATTAGGATCGACGTTTCCAAAAAAGGAATCTCTTGGGAATCGTTGCCAGGCTTGGAGAATTTTTAACTTTTAACGCGCGGGAAATTTAACTCGGCGCGTTTAATCGCGATCGAGTTCGAGGCAGAAAAAAGCGCGGTCGGGTTGCGCGCGATTGAAGGTTTAACGAGAGAATCGATTTTCCATAAAGCAACGCGTTCCCGTTAACCCGGATAAATCCGCGAGGGGCATGTCTGCGGCGTTGCACGCGAGCCACGCGCAATCGGCCTTCAATGGCCGACACCACGGTTCCCCCTTTCATCGCGCTCTCGTGCGAGAACGGGCGCAGGGGGGAGGAGGCGCGAAAAGAGGACGTTCGATTCATCCTCGAGCCGCCTTCGTTTCGTTCCTTCTCCCTTTCCGCTTTCAACGAAACGAATTCAAATTTAACCCGATTCCGTGCCTTCCCCCGGATATTTTCGGACTCGAAATTACGACTCGGACCAAGGTTATCTCGAGAACACGTTTCCATTCCATCCCCCCTTCGTCGATATCGAATCTATCCACCTGGCGCATAGCGTGCGGACGATAGACGAAAGGCTCAAGGGCCGAGCCTTCGAACAGACCTTCAACTTTCGCCCTACGAAAATTTGCTGAGATCGTGGAAGGTATCGCGTGCTTCGCGCGGAATCGGGAACACGATCTCTCGAATTTCGATCCGACGCTCGAGAATATATATACGTATATCTATCACCTTCTCTCGAAACGAAGCAATTTAGAAGAATTTTCGAGAGTCGTAGAAAAAAGAAAGCTCGACGAGGCAATTTCCTGTTCTATCGACAGATGATAAGTTTGCTCCCGATTGCGTGGACAGCACTTTTTTCCTCGATTCGATATACGTATATGTATCAAGAGAGACAGAGAGAGATTAAACGAGAAAACGTAGGAAGCGGATTTATACGCGTTTTCGAAAAATTTTATACCGTGAATGTTTGGTTATCGTTGCTGAGAAAACGCGGATCTTTCAGCAATTTCGCACGGCTCGATACGAGCTTCTTTCGTCCCTTGGACCAATTCGAAAGGGAGGGAGAAGAAGTACTTTGAGCAACTTGCGAACAAAGGCTATTATACGATATTGGCCGGGCCAACATCCTCCGAAACATCGAATCTTATTAATCGATCGTTGTAAACGACCAAATAATTAATTCGGTTTATTAATAAATGGACAATTACAAATTTAATCGAAGTAACGGATACAACAATCCGAGGCGATTTTTCCATTTCTTTTCCATCGATGATCGATGATGGAAAAACTCGAAGGGGATCTCGTAAATAAGGCTCGTAAAACAGGGAAGACAAGGACGGTGCGCGCAAATTACATAGCAAATTGATAGCCGGCGAGTTTGCGCGTGGTTGGCCCCGTTCAACGAACCGTGAACGCGCCGTTCCTGCGTTTCCTGCCTCCGATACATCAAAGGAGCAATGAAATCAAGCGTGCTATCCCGCAACATCGACCCGATCGATCGATCCGGTTCCGGTTTCGACCATTCGCCTCCTCCTCCCTCCTCCCTTTAATCCCTTGCCTCGACGCTTTTCCAAGCGGAGGAGGGAGGAACTCGAGTCAAGGCCGATCGAGGGGACGGCGATCGAATTCGATCTGAGTGGATCGAGGGGGAGGGAGGGGGGAGGGCTTCCGTCCGCCGACCCTTAAACCCGAAAGCGGAACCTTAACCCGCGCGCTACTCCCAGAGTCCAGCGTGGAACCGTGGGCCATGTGCGCCATTCGATCCAGGAAGAGGAGAGGAGAGGAGAGGAGAGGAGGAAGCAGCGGATAGAAACAGGGACGACGGAGAGAACGGGATCGAGAGAGAGAATCGGCTCTACTCCACTTTCTCCTGTCTTTCTCTGCCGCGGTTTCTTGTTTATCGAGGGAAAACGATAAGAGAGCGGGGCACAACAATGGAGGTGAAAAAGCTTACCAGGAGACGCCCGGTAAATCTGTATCCTTCGTTCCTTTTCTGGCCGGGGTGTGGTTCCTTCGCATACGGGTGGGGCCAGGATCACCCCAACGGGATCAAGGACTTTGGTGGACTTGGCGGCTGGATTCGGAAACTCGTCTGTATCTTATATCGGATATATATATATATGCATGTATGTATGTAGAGGTGGTCAAGGAAAGGGGACGGAGGAAGCGCGTATCGGAATGAATTTCGAAAGAGCGCGAGAAGGAAGCGAGTGGTCGCTCGCGCACGTGCCTTTCTCCTCTTTTTTCTCCTTTCCTTCTCCTTTCCTCTCTTCTCACTACCACGGATCCGAGCGCGTTCGGGCGAAGGGAAGGATGATTGGAAACACAAAGGAGAGGGGAAGAAGGGGATTATATCGGGTCGGACACGCGCGATTCCTGCCTTCGCTAGGACATCTCTCGACTGCCGTACGACGATGCGATCTTGCGACGATGGCCCATCCGACGACCCAACCTTGCTTCCTCCGCGGTTATCCTCAGCAGCCGCCGTGATCCGCTCTCCTCGCCGGAAGATTCCCACTCGACTGGTCGCCTCTCCTTCCTACGAGCCGTCCTCGGTCACGTGACGCATCGCGCGTGCTACCCAACGACCACGACCACTGTGCGGTGTCACGATCTCCCTCGCACCATCGATTCGCCTCGCCGCTGTCCTCCGCCAATTTCCAACATTCGCTCGCTCCCTTCTTCGCCGATCGCCAAACTCCACCTCGCTCGCCTCGCCAGGAGGCTATTACCGACGAGGCGATCGATCCAACACTCCGAGAGATCTTCGACCTCTTCGTCACACCGAGTTTCGACGTCGATACCGAGAGAGAGAGAGAGACACGCGAACTTCTTTCCTTTCCTCTCCTCTTCCACGATTCGACGACTCGCACCAACTCGTCCGCAACAACACCGCTCTCGTCGGCAATCACACGAACTGCGGCACGCGAAACACGTTCGGTGGAGGATCGCGCGCGCCTCTCCCCCTCGTCCGTCCGTCCACCGGCCACGTCCCCGTCAACTTTCCACCTTCGTCGTCGCCCGTCCACCTGTCCACCGCGTTCGGATACGCGCGCGCGCGCCTCGAGATCGCGCCGCTCGAGAGATCGTACGCGTCTCGGGGAGGGGAAAAAGAAAGAAAAGAAATGGCGAAGAGAAGAGAGACGAGGTCGAGGCTCGTCTCAGGGAGCAGCGGTTGGACGACGTACCGCTTGGCTGGCGGTGGTGCGCGGCGCCATGACAGTGTTGCCTCCTACGAACGCCGCGAACGCCCCCACCAAACAACCCCGCTCGTCGGGGCGCGCACTCTCTCTCCGCCCCCCCCCCCGACTTTTGCCTCCACCGCCGTTCCACTCGCCCCGCCGCCCCTCCCTCGCTTCTCCCTGCCTCGGCCCCACCAACGCAATATTGATCGGGCGGAAGGGCGGCATCCAACCTCGTAACGACTTTCCAAGGTGCCCCGCTCTTCTTTTTCTCTTTTTTATTTTTTATTTTTTTTTTCCTGCTTCCTTCCTTCATCCTTGATTCCCCTCCCTCCCTCACGGGTCACTCCTCTCGCGCGAAACAAATTCTTCTACGAATTCTTCCTCCTCCCTTCGAGGGGATAATCTATCTCGTAGCCTAGCCCGGTTACGGATCATTCTTCCAGGGACTCGCGGCACGTGGAGACTCGATATTCGAAGTCGAATCGACAATCTTCTAACTCCATCAACCAATTTCCCCACGAATTTGCACCTCCTCTGATATGTAGCAGGCGTATATATTAAAAAGTATATTAAGAAGCGGCTCGATTAAATTTTATCTCGTTTTCGACCCAACGGCGGAGAATTGTGGAACGGAAGACGCGTGTGTCCGTTCGAGGCGCGAAGAATGGCGAGGAGGAGCAAGTTTTCGCGCCTATCCAACTTTCGCCATTTTCCTCCAGAGTTCCAACTTCCCGAGTACGAGAGAAAGAGAGAGGGACGTAAAACGTAGAGGAGAGGTTGGTAGGAAGAAATCTCGGTGGACTGTGGGATACTTTTGTCCAGAGAAGAGAGGAGGGGGGGGGGGCGTTCGAGAACCGAGTAATGTACGCGCCACTGGGACGCAATCCCTGGGAGGGAAAGGGAAGTTTATCCTAAATTCGCCGATTCTGTCGAATGCAGGGATCCCTGAACAACGTATGCGTCGTTTCGTGAGCGGCATCTAACGGTGTGCGGAGAAACGAACGCGTAAAAAGAGAAAGAAAAAAACGTTGCGTTCATGCATATGCAAACATCATAAATTTATACACTCGTATCTTTGTTCAACCTGCGACTGTATCGTGAGAAAGAAAAAAAGAGGAAAATACAAAAAAGGAAAATGCGAGACGAAAGGAAAGGGGTTTGGGAAAAATCGAGGCCGAGTTGAAAAATGTTATTTAGTAACATTAACGTTCGAGGCCTTTTAAGCTTGATCGAACCAACAATTCTCAATACGATTTTCTGCTTCCTGTTTAATGAATTTCTTAGCTAACTTGAAATGATTTCAACGAATTAACGTATGAAACTTTTATATACTTTTAATATTTTATGTATCTTTACATATAAAAACAAAGAAAATTTGTCGGATATTGAAGTTGTTTCGCTCGATATTTTAACAACAATTAACAAGATGCATCCTCGGTTTGTCATAAAATGTTTCACGTCTTTCTTATTTCATTGAGAGCAAATCTTACGATAACGTGCTCTCACATTCACCGTCTATTATTCCTATTTTTCATCTTCTCTTACTATATATCTCTATTTTCCTTGTCTCTATCGTCAATCTTTTAACGAATCTCAATAACGAAAAATAGCGCTTACAAAATTGAAAAATTTTGAAAATAATATTTCTATCTCGCCACGACCGTCAGAACTAACGTCGAAAATGTAGTTCGATCATGGTCTAATTTTGGATAAAAAAATTCAAGCATTCGATAATATATTATTCCACGCTTTATAAGATCAAACATAAATGAATATCGTCGCCGTTCGAATTGCCGCATCGATCCAAGCGCACCATTCGAGCGCAAAGGTTAATGTAATAACATAATAATATATAAGTTCCTAACCTCTTTACGTATAATCTTATGGGGTGTAGAATAATATATAATAATTATATACTAATACATTGTATACACTGTATATTATACAATAGTATACTATGTATAGTATACTATACATTGTATATTAATACATATACAAATACAATTATATATACTAATATATTATTAAATGGCTAGATTTTTTATCTGGAATTAGACCGTGATCGCGAGTCGAACGACATCTTTGGCGTTAATCTGAGTTTGACTAATAGATAGAAATATTATTTTTAAAGTTTTCGAGATTTGTAAGCTTGGAATACGGTGATGAAATTAATTCAAGCGAGAAGATGAGTTTGATTTTTCGTCATTTGAATGACTTGAAAATTACTTTTATTCGTAAAGAAATTAACGATAGAGAAAGCAATGATGATGAGATGAAATAAAAGAGAAAAAAAGACGAAAAATAAAAATAATAAATAGTGAATATGAAAGCAATAGTTCAAGTGAAGATATCGTGGAAAACACAGAAAATTTCAAATGGATAATATGCACAGAATCGGAAGATATACAATTTGTACCCGGCGAAAAATCTGCAAGATCGCAAGTATCTTCGAATATAAATGAACCATTAGATCTTCTTTAAACTATTTCTTACCGATAAACTTATTCGTGAAATAGTGCGCGAAACAAATAATTATGCAATAAAAAAGTTAGAAGGAAAAGTACTATCGCTCTATTTGCCCTGACAAACCGAGGATGCATCTTGGTAATTGCTTCATAAAATATCACATAAAACAATATAAACTTTATAATATATATTATAATATTCAATAAATTTTCTTTCTTTATATGTAAATATATATAAAATATTAACCTTTTGCACTCCAACAGATTCTCGATCATTACTTGAGTTAATTCTGTAATTCCAGTGGTGATTACTGGAATTGATGCAGCAACTTGAACGGCGACAATATTTATATTTATGTTTGATTTTTTTAGAATATCGCTTCATAAATAGATTCCTAATCTCTTTATGTATAATTTTATGAGGTGCAGAATAATATATTGTTAAATGATTAAATTTTTTATCTCAAATTAAACCATGAGTCGAACATCTTCTGCATTAATCTGAGTTTGACAGTTGTAGCGATAGATACATAAAATATTAAAATATAAAAGTTTTACTAATTTGTGCGTGAAATTATTAAAAAATTAGCTGTAAGAAATTCGCGCGTATGGGAACGATAATAATTGTGTAATATAATTATTATTTTTTATTTTCGATCGTGATTATCTCAAGGGAAAACTTACCCCTCGAATGGGTCCTGCGCTCGGATGCAGGGACAGCGCCGGCTCGGGATCTGAAACAAGAAGCAACGACGGTTCGGTTGAGTTCAGTCGAGAATACGATGGCGAAGAAACTTTTGCAATTTACAGCGTGGAAAATTCCCCGTAAGAACGATCGCGTGTCCGCAACCGAGCCGTTTCGAGGTCGGCGGAAACGGCAGCCAAAGGGAGGACGTTGGCGCGCCCTTCGAGATGTTGCGCGTCCCCTGCCTAAGATGGCCGATTCTCTCGGGGTCATCGGATCGTTCGACTTGCGATCGATATCCAATCTTTCCACTTCGATCGAGTTTCTTCCCTTCTCCCTTCTCCACGAATCTGACTTTCAAATGTAGGCACGCTTTTATGTATATATATATATAAAACGCGTGACGAAAGTGGAACGGAATCGAAGCGAAATCGTCCTATTTATCGCGAGATGTCGCGTCGCCAATTCGAATCGGTCTCATTTCTATCGTTGATTGATTTCGTGGCAATCGAAGAAACGATTGCATAAGATATCATCAAAAAGGATGATGTCAAAGAGAGCATTATCGAAAATTCTTCGTTGAATCTATTCGAGGTTATCTGTTAAATCTCTTTCCCTCTATTAATCGTAGAATTGTTGGATGGAAAAATTTGGGTATCCTCGAAGTAGAGATTCCTGGAAAAACTGCCGAATACTAATTCTAGTTTCTCTCCCCTCCTCGTTCATCTCGCGAAAAGTGTCCGTGATGGGCCAACGATTGCAGCGAGTGCACTCGTCCTCGAGAACCGCGAAACGATTGGAAACGCGACGTTTGGAAAAACCAGGTCCGGTCGCGCTTCAATTTAATCGTTCCCGCCTCACTCGAGAAACTCTAGCGCGAATTCCTCCGCTCCCTTTTGTTCCTTTCGCATTCGAGCGTGCTATTCTCGCGTACGCTCCCAACCCATGGTGTTAAGCGGCGTAAAATGGGCGAAAACCCATTTCACAAATGGTACAATGGCAAATAGACCGTTCGTTCGATCGACCGTGACCGCGGTCGTTGACGAGGGATCGATAATTCGCGATATTTCGAAAAAAAAAAAAAATGCGACGAGGTTCGAGAAAATCGATGGTAAAAAAAGTCACAAGATCGAGGGAGGAAGGATAATGGAGCAATTCTAATTTTAGATAAATCCGTCAGCCTCTCCAGTACACGTAACTACGAACGTAACGCGCCGTGTCTCGAATACACGTCGGTCGCCTAATAATGCGCATCACCGGCTCTCGTGGCGCGTACGTTCGATGTGCGCGGTGTGAGGCTCGTGCACGAGCATCGAATTGCGCTCGCCGACAAATCGATGTCCCACCGGACGGTACCAGCTCGGTACCAACCGCCCTAGGCCACCACCATCCGAAGGATTTCGCTCCAACTCCGCTAATTCTCCCCCTCCTTTCCTCCGCGATCGTACCTCCTCCTCGCGAGACATTATCTCGTCCGTGGTTACGCGATAAATACGCGAAAAAAGAAAAAAAAAAAAATACAATCGAGTTGCGAAGTAGAGAAAATAATCGATACGGGTGATTTCTTCAACATTTTCCATGAAATTTCGCGGCATATTCGCGGCCGCTTATCTTGTTTGCGGATAGAAAGGTAATCCCGTGGACATCGATCCGGATCTGAATCGAATCGAAGGTCGAGAACGTTGGAAAAATTATTGGAGAGCGGAAGGAAGGAGAGGAAAAAGGGAGACGACGACTCGAATGAACGTTTCATTTGGACGGTTGACGTGGCCGGAAATGGGAAATGGAGCTCGAGGCCAACGAAGACCGGTGAAATGTAAATGAACGGCTGGCTACAACGCCGCTGCTACACCCTGCTCCTCTCCTAGTTCTCGAGTC